AAGCGTTCTGCGCAGCACATGTACGCGCTTCTCGCTTGTGTGGGGCTCGGAAGTCGGGAGCCTGGTAGGAAACATCGCATCATTGCGTAGTTGTAAGGAGATACTTGTGTTTGATACTATGATCTTGTGTTCCACCTGTGTCCCTTATTGAAAAACTTTATAGAACATCTGCAAAAGTATCAAAAATTGTTTTAATAAGTTTGTTATTCCATCTCCCAGCATTAATCAGTTTTCTGTCTGGTTGTGTGTTCTATATACGGCAGAAGGTGTGACAGTAGATTATTTTTCCTCCTACAATGTTGATTCTACGTGGAATTAAACTGACGTAGTTTCCCCACCTATACATATACATTAACATATGCTTGGGTGGTTAATCCCGAGATCAGAGACGTCTTAATTTGCCAGTACTTTGTGTGAATTAGTATTGTCTTCATGTACATTGTGACGAATAGTTATGAATTCAGAGAATTCTCTTTTTTATAAAGTGACGACAAGCTAAAATACTCCACATATGTGTAGAGACCAGTGGAGATTTTTATTAAGTGTTAATAGTACAAAGTGTAATATTGAGTCTTCCTAAGACGAATATTTATTAAGAAAGAAATAGAATTTATTTAAAATGGCGAGTGATTTGTCAGCTGTGCCACTTGTTGCTCTTTCTGCTGAGACCAAGGAATATATTGCAAACATGTTAAATCCCACTAAATTTTTATCAAATGAGAATAGTTTCCAAAGGTAAAAATTTGTTAATGATTTAAAATTCAATATTTTACATAATTCCAAGAATATTATATGTAACTAATTATTATTTGTAATTACAAGGGATTGGAGAGGTTTGACGCATTTGTTGAAAGTTAATGCAGAACTTATGCCATGGTTTGAAGCTCAAAAAGATCCGACAAAATACATATTAGAAAAGATAGAGAAAAATATCTCAATGAAAGATTTTCAAGCAACAATGGAATTGATGGACAGATGGGACATTATTGATGATACTGAAAAAATGTTTGGTATGTATTACTAAAAAATAATTCATACATTTATTGTAATTTATACTAATTTCATAAAAATAATATCAAAATTTATAATTACAATTAATGATTAACAATTTGTTCATACAGAAAGTGATGCAATAAAATATCTTGAACATCAGCAAAGAGTATCAGCTAATCCAATAGATCAGCAGGTTGACGAAGACATACTTACATTAGGTTTGAAATTAGCATTTAATAATATTTTAACTTGCCGATTTAATTGTACAATTATACTTTATAACATATATAACAAATATTTATTTCTCACAGATGATGCTTATAGGCTAACACGAGGTTTAAGCAAAACACATTATGATGCGTTTCTTCTATATGCAGATGAGGATGCTGATTTTGCGAATGAGATAATGCAAAAGCTTCAGACAGAATATAAGCTAAAGGTATTATACATAACTAAAATATGATTGTTTTTAATTAACAATTGATTAGATTTAAACGATATTAATATTTTCAGTTATGTTACCATCAAAATATGATTGCTGGTCTACCATTTGAGCATGAAGCAGTGATGAAGTTAATATCTAAGCGATGCAACAAATTACTTGTTATATTATCACCTAATTTTCTCAGACATCCAACAAATCAATTTTTATTAAGTTATACGCAAGCTCTAAGTATCGGTATGTTTTTTAGTTATATTTTTATATGGTGTAATTGAGACTCTATTTTAAAATTATATAAAAATTTCATTTTTCTTATTTTCTAGAAAAACAGCAGAGAAAAATAGTACCTTGCTTATATAAAAAGTGTCAACAGGAAGACGTGCCATATCAATTACAATATATATCTCGTGTGGATTATACTCGCAGAAAATATCAAGACTTTTGGATGCTATTATGTTATTCTATACAAGCTCCAACTGTTGTTATTACAAGGTAATATAATTCCTGCTGAATTTGTGACTAAATATAAAAATAAGTTAATTTAAGAACACAAACTGAGTGATTTTGAATTTTACAGTAGTACAATGTCAGTAGAACAGAGCAGTATGATACAAGAGTTGCCAGAAATAAATACTTTGCCTGATAAGCATAGCATAATAATTGAAACTGCTACTCAAAAAACAGATGAAGAAACATCAAGACATTCACTTCAGAGTGAAAGTTGTGTTAATAGAGATGGTATAGCTTTAAATGTGGAGAATGAAGAGAATGAAAAATTACTCCTAAAAAAAATGAAAAATTTGAAGACGAAATTAAATGGGGACAGTTTGGAAAGTAATGAAAGTGGCGAATCACAGAATCAATTAATTACATGTACAAAGACATATGCAAAGAAGAAAAAATCATCTGATAAGAAAAAAAGTTCATTAAAATTTTTTAGAAAGAAAAAAATTGCTTTACAGGCCTCGTAAAAAATTGTTATTACTATGGATAATTGTAGATAATAAATCGTTTTTATGTTTTTTTCTGTTTATATAAAAAGAAGAAAAAATATTTGTGTTTAAATATATGTATATATAAGAGGAAGAAAAATGTTTATATAAATATATTAAAGCAAATATTACGTCACATTTTACATGACTATTGTATATATAAAAAGTATGTAAAGAAGTTATATTTTTTAATTATACGCAACAATGTAAAAAATTTCAGAACCTTTGGCATGTACAATTATTTATCGTTCACAACATGACATTAAAATTGCATTTAATATTTTTTATTGTATATATTCAGCTAAAGTATTGTGTTTATAAAAAAAAGAATTTTTCAATAAAACGCTTATCTAACTTATCTTTTCTGTTATCTAAAATATTAATAAAGTTCTAAGTCTTGGTTTTATGGTTGAAGGTAGCCTCCTTGAAGGTGAACACAGTAGTGCCAACGATATTTCAATCGTACTATACTACTTTCATATTCGCATTTAGGGACACTCAGAAAATAATTATTTACCATGATTTGAACTTGTTCGTACGATGTGAATTTTTGATTTGCTGACCATTTCCTAAGGTTTGGAAGCAAATGAAAGTTGTTTGCAGCTAGATCTGGTGACCAAATCGGGTGGGGTAATAATATGTATTGCATGTCATGGCATTTTTGTATTGCATCTTCTGATGTATAAATTGAACTGTTATTTACTTGTTGCAAAATCAATGTCTTATTTGCCACTTGTGGCTGCCTTTGCACTACTGCTGTCTTTAAGTATTCCAACATCAACAAGTAATCGTTGCGAATTGTTTCTATGTTTTGAGTATACTTAGTGAGAACAATTCCAGTTGAATTCCAAAAAATAATAGCTTTAACTTCTTGTCTGCATGGAACTGTTTCTGTCCTTGATGAAGAATTAGCGTTAGTAAATTGTTCCGTCTCAGGAGTGTAATAAAATGATATTTCGTAAAACGTTACAAAGCGATACAAGAAATCCTCTTGATTGTCTATATAATATTTTAAACAATCTTTCGAAACTTGTACTCGATTGCATCTTAAATCACTGATCGGTACACTTGGCACCCAATGCCCAGATAACTGGACCCAGTTCCTTTTTGTTAAGATAAGGGATACAAAATCTGGGCTTTGCTTTACCATTTCTGCTATTTCTTCGAGTGTCAAATGGTAATTATAAATTACGATGTCAGTCACTATCTTGTACAGTTTATTAAGTCCTATATATTTTTTCCACATATCAATTATCTTTTTTATTTCTACAAGTGAAGGTATTACGTAATGTCCTTTTAAAGTCCTTGTCAGTTCGCCATGAATATCGTACATATTTAAACCTTTTAAAGCGAAATATCTAATAATTATATAATAATCACTGCGTTCCATTCTTTTTTCCTCTTTTCTCTTTTGTTTCTTTTTCAATTGGCAATCAGTCATTTCATTCACTTCTTCATTTGTACTACGAAAGTAATTTTGAGCACGAACAACCATCTCTTCTACTATTGTAAGCGGAAAAATAAATATTCCTAAAGTACTTTCCAGTTCTTTTAAAATTTCGACTGGTGTGAAACCTTTCAAAGTAAAATATTTAACAACTCCAAAATAATCATCGTCTTCCATGTTTGAAAAAATTACTTGAAGCGTTTACTTCGATGGGCTGAATTATTTCAAAGATCGAAAGTCGCGATCGAGAAATCCGAGATTATACAGTTCAATATGTGAAAAATAAAAAACTCTAATGTTTCTTTTTGTTCGTGGAATCACAATCACGGAATAAAGGTTAAAATCGCAAAATCGCACGATCACTTCAACAATTATTCTCAGTCCAAAATTCCTCAAATCAACGCACTTTTACAATTCTAGATCAGTTTTTCGATTTTTGCTAAAAAAAGCAGCTCAGCCGAGAGGTGTGGATTTTATTGCAGGCGTTGAGTTCTTTTCTAATGCTGAACACTAATTGTCTTGCAATTTGAGAGTTTCGAGATGACCTCCAGATATCACATACAATTGACTGACGAAGAACTGTATGAAATACTGTGGCGAAGAAATCGGTTAATCGTTAAGCAATCGATGCCTCTTGTTATTGTTGATGGAACACACTGTTTTTCTGATTGAAAAAAAAGAAGATCGACTAGTTATCTTTCAAACTTTGCTCGAGTTTAGCGTGAATTTGAGAAAGTTCTAGAAAATTATTTGGAATATTTTTTGTGAATTCTTTTATAATAATTTAAAATAAGACCACAGGGAAAAATCAAAGCAGCTATCTATTCAGAAAACTGTAATACGCCGAAAAAAATAACTTGAGTTTTCGATCGTAATTATAAAAGTTACATAATAATTGCTTAGAAATTCTGAAATATTTTTTAAATACGATTTAATCTAAAACTATTATCATCTAAAGATACAAAGTAATTTGTTTTATTACATTGCATTCAACAACTGTATCTATAATCGCATAGAACGATTAGTTTATTACCCACCGCTCGCGGTGCACTCAGTTTACGTACGACGTTTCAAGATGTCGTTGCTATCGCACAATCTACCGCGTGGCGTCGCTCTCGTATGCGCCTGATCGGTGGTGATCGCGGAATGGGATTCCAATATGGCAGCCGTCGTGATAGCCGCACAAGTCAGTGTCGCGGAAATGTTTTGAACTCGCTGAGCAGGCAACCGCGACGATCGGTCGACGTGCGACGCATAGGTTAGTAGGACGACGTGTAAACGCGTCGGTCGCGTTTTGTGGCCGATCGACCGATTTGTGTCAAAAAAAAGCGCGATGGGCCGCCCTCGCGAGACAGTCGTGTTACTTCTCGCTGTCGCGCGCGCGGTTTCCGCAATATATGCTCCCCGCGCTCGGCAGATTAATCGTACCGATATGCTGACGTAAAGTTACACCTGGCCGATGCTCGGCCCGGGCGCGCCGGTCGACATACGAACATTCGGCGCGCGCGACGACGCTTCCGCGCCGCTTACGAGTCTCGCCGTCCCTGTCCTTCGTAACGCGCGACGCCGCGCCGCGCCGCACCGCACCGCGTCCAGATCCGCATTGTGTACGTTTACGACGTGCGTGTCCGCGTTCCTATCTTTGTCAGTTACATCGACTGACTGCGCGCGATCTCCCGTATCTCTCTCTCTCTATCTTTCGCCGTCTCCCTCGTCGCGATTTGCGTCAGGTGTGTGATTGCTGTATTATTCTGCGTGAATGCGTGCGTGCACGTCCGCTGTATGTATGTTGTTTACTTGCATGTGACTTGGATGCGTGGTGCCTGTACGAATTTGTTTTGGAAATGTCGCTTACGTCTATCCCCGCCTTCCCCGTTTTTCTGTTTCTCCTGTCATCGTGTGTCGCGCGGTCGCCTGTCGCCGCGTGTGCGTGCGAGTACGTGTGCGTGTGTGTCTGGGCGTCAAGAGTTCGTCACCGGTGGTCCATCACGTCTTCACGCGGCTCCGACCTGTCTTCTGCCCCGTGTGACAACCGTATGTGCCTTAGGACGCGCGACTACGTTGGAACCACGTCGAAAATAGCGAGCATCATAACACCTGGGTCTGGCGACGTTCGGTAAGTAACTTTTCTTCCACTGGCTTATTTTTGACTCAGGCTGCGGCCAGACGAGTACCTATATTGTACAGGTGACAGGTGTTCTCGGTGAACACGACGAGACGTCGTCCGTTCATGCTCCGACATCACCGTCGATTACGATCGGTGGAGATTAGCTTTTGCATTTATGACGTCCAAAAAATCTTTAATATGACTATAAGAAACACACAAATAATTTTTGGTAATTAATACATATATGACGTTGCGATAAAGCAATAATATTAATGGTAATATCGCATCTTATTTATTATAAATAATGAGTCTACGTTTAATTACAAAGAATTAATTTTTTCAATAGCATTCTGGAATTGCATTTGTTTTTCTTAAAAAATAACTTACGAAAGATTTTCAGTTTTTTTTAATAGTGTGATTATGAAGAAACAATCATAAAATTCTATTAGTTTTATAAATATTGATAAAAATATTTTGGAGTAATTTTTGATTGCATCAAATTGCATTGATTACATAATTTATGTGATTAGATTAGAATTTAAATCGCTGAAAAGAATCCAGATTGTCTTTAAATTCAAGATTACTCGAATATTATTTTGGCGTTAAAAAATGATACGTGAATTATCTTTAAGTACAAAATTAATTATATATGTATAAAGACTACTAAAAACAATCCATTATTTGCATATTTTTGAGAGAACTTTGTGGCGTATAAAAATTATCTATAATATATTTAACTTCGTATAAATATTAATGTATGCTAAATTTAAATATTATACATATAATAATTATTGATGAGGCATAAAATTAAAATGAGAAACTATTAAGCGAGATAAATTGTGATGAAATTGTGAGACGCAAAAGTTATATTCATTTTTAAGATAAATAAATATTATCATACGATTTGCAAAATATTTTGAGAGATATTACTTCTCTTTTAATCTTACTTTCGAATAAAATGTCTCAGACGCGTTGCGTTCAAGAATGGCAAACGTGTTGTCAGAAATGCCAGAAATGCCGCCATGTACCTTGAATTTTAATACTTCTACCACGTTGGCGCTATTTAATATTACACATTAAATATATCTAGAAAGCTTAAAGCTTTCATACGTAATATCTGCAGATGGGAATATTCACAAATTTCATTTTGTAACGATGCTTTCAGCCATTGTTTTTTTATTTTTGGCGCTGTGTCGAAATTTTACGCCATGTAATTATGCTAAATTTGTCGTCGTAGAGAACGCGAATAATGAACAGTTCATTTCGAAGAGTTTCCGTCGTATTTTCATTCAACACCGTATTGAATTCTATTCCATTTCGATCGTTATCCCGAATTGTATTGCGTCGAGTTTAATTTCGTTCCCCTGTTTCGAGATTCTACGTCCTATTCTATTAATTCGTAAACCTCGCTTCTGTTTCTTTCACAAATCTTTTCGGCTAGTCAAATAAATACAACCCGTTGTTTCTAAGAGGCGTTATTTGCGGAAATCTTCCGCATACCGTTATCGAGTTTATATTATGTGAAAGATAAACAGTTAATCATTGGAAGTGGGCAAAGTTCACTCTTTATTTCACATAAAAGTATAAATGCAAGACTTATTTTAAGCATTATTTTCCATATTTTCCGCACATTTTGCTATCACGCCATATTTGTTGCAATAATAATTAATTTATCAATTTATTAATATTATAAAATATCACAATTTTTTCTTTTACAATTTTTGTTTTAACCGATAATTATTATTATATGTTAATTATAATTTTTTTTTAAGTGAAAAGTTTAAATAGGTTAAAATAGCAAAAGAGAGTGAGACTGTACTTCATTGTTAGTTAACATAGATGCTTTTGGCAACGATAAACTTTATCGTTGAAACTTGTGAAATTTGATACAATAATTTAATTTACGTTGATCTCATAATGATCAATTAGGAATATTATTGAGCACACCAATTTCTATTTAATTATATCTATTACTCGATTCAAAAATTAAAAATATTTTAGAGTTTAATTTATCACAAATTGATAATTACTTATGTTTCACGCAGTGGAAATACTATCCTTTATGTACCTCAGTGATAATTATAATCGCTTCCGGTTATTCCTGACACATATTTACACAAAGAAACGGATGTGATTTCGCGACACGAGCTTGATTCCGCGTACTCCATCGCACTGCACTTTATCGCAATCCTTGAACATGATATCTAGAGTTTTTTATTTCGAGTTAGTAGTGTAAAGTTACAACTACGTGACATGTTCACTCAAAGCTTGTATATCGATCGGGAAGAATTATGCCAAATGTAGATTACGACAAAATATCTTTCTTAATGTCGGTATGTAAATACGTTTAATTTATGTCCAAGTTTGAAATTTATTAGATGGTATTATGTATGCGCGCGACACAGTGGTCTATTCATATTATAATATGAACATAAAACTCGGTACTAATTTTCAAAAGTTTATTATGCTTTGTGACATATATAAGATAACATCGGAGATTTCTTTATTAATAGAAAAAAAATCATAAAATATTTTTTGTGAATTATTCTTTTTCAACACTTTAATGCTTCAGATAAATATTATTTTTGCTTTCCAAATTGCGCAACGAATTTATCAGTGTACTTGAATAGAAACATTTTATTGTAAACCTTTCTTCCATGTTATATACGGTTGATTAAATGTCACGACGAACATTATTTTGCCGGTTACTTGAGGCAAGAATGGGTGGAGTATAATTCTGGCACGTTATTTTCTCGCGGGTATTACGAAAACTACATGCAGAACTGCACATTAAATCCGGTTTAATAATAAATCTTGCGAACCGTAAACAAAGTAACAAAACGACCACTAATCACAGCTATGTAAATTAAATACACGGCTCTGTAAATATTGTACTTATGTTTTATTTCGGGAAACTTTAAGACACTTTCCGTGATATTATGAATAAATTATTTATCCGTGATCGTACAACACTGACAGCAAAGTGTATCGTGTATCTCGAGTGAACGAACTTTCGAGTATAGAGAATCTAGCAACAAGAAACTACGCAATATAGAACTCATGTGCATAACTTTTTCCTTCCGCACTTTATCTCGTCTCTGTTTACTCGCTGGCAAGATTCTATATAATTAGTTGCGCACTGCGCAGAGATACCAAAATTGGAACATATACATTAAGAAATCATTACTTAATTATGAAGTTAACGTTTAAGTTTCTCTGAGATTAGTATTTGGTTTGATCTTGACTCGGAATATTGCTTTTGAGATATTAATGCTATGATGTCTTATATCTTATTTACACTTTTCTTTAGCCGAGTTAAAGCCAAAACTTCTCAGGGAAGAGGTTTCAGTGGTCTGAAATAACCAACAGTTAAAAATAAGTAAAACGACTGGTTTCTTACAAATTTAATTTCGAGAAGGTAAACAAGTAAACTGTATTCTAAATTAGGAATCACACATACACACACACATATATTTCTCAATTAACTTTATTTTAACAAAAACTTTATTTTTAATAAAATCTTAAGTTGAATTTGATCGAGAAGGTGATTTCAGAAATTAGAAACTTACAAGATATATTATGATCTCTCTTAATATTTCTGCGTATATCAAAAGTTTGGTTCGAAATTTATCAAAGTATAATTTATCATTGTCATTTAATACTGTGGTGGTGGAACATCTTATGTATATTAACTATTTTGAAGGATTTTAGCCTCCTCAATCCATCCAATGTTTGAATAATGTATTATAGTATGATAAAAATTAGCTGTTTTATCACTTTTTAAATCTGCAATAATTTGCATATAATTTCAATGTTACGAAAAGTATTTTAACAACTTGCAACTTTGCACGCGTATTTGCAATTTTTCGGATAGAATTCAAATATTTTCTGAATTCGATTTTCTAAAATATTTGCTTCGTTATCTATTTTATTTCTAAAACATCAAGCGGCTCGATTATTTTTCCTGAAAAATGTCATATTGAAAGAGAAAGTGTGGGTGGAATTTAATTTCAGCAAGGGCGATGCAAAAACAGAACATAATTAAGTTTAATCCTTGGTCTCGAGGTCTCCTTGTAGAATTACGAGCGACTCTAAAGATCGCAAACTTCGATGAATAACGAAACGAGCTCGAATTTCCAACAACTTTTTGCTGCATTGCTATAATTGTATTCTGTGTATTGTTCTTGCCGGTCGATCCGTTAAAAACGTTCCCGGTCAGTGAAAAACGTTATCGATTGGTCAAAAATGATAAAAACGCCGAGTTATATTCGACATGGAGGAATTATTTTTCACTCAACATTCTATGCACGTCTCGGTGCACTATTTTCACATTTCGATGAATAATTCTAGAGAATTTACTAGAGAATACGCGATATCGACGAAATCATTCTTCTTTCATATCGTTTGTGCTTCGCTTGTAGTATTCAATGTAACAATTTATTTATCTTGTTAATCAAATGCATTGCAAAACGAACATCATAATAGTTCGATATGTAAAAGCTTTATGCATTATAAGCAAAAATAATTTGATTATTCCGTTTAAAAGCGAGAAAGGTAAAGGGTTAATTGGAAATCTATTCTTGACCGCTTTCAGACTTTCAAAATGAGAAAATAGCAGTTTGCATACTTAAGCATTTTTGCACGCGATAGTAAGTTGTACGAAGTAATTGCAGAAAGTTCACTGACACCACAAAATCTACTAGAAACATGCAATCCGGCATATCCATTGATTCATGAAACGTAAATTCTCAATCCTTAATATCTGCTCTTTCTGTGATTGAATGTGATATACCATTATTTACATGTTTTATTCATTAATTCAATTTAAATATGAATTAAATCATTGAATTTATGTTTTTTTAAAGTTAGTAATTTACGTGAATCTCTGCGTTTGACAAGTATCGCCTCTTATTTATTTTCATTTCCAATGCAATTCGTCGTATTGCGTTTTAATAGATTTATGATGGCAATATATTTTTTAATCAATGTACTTTGTTAAGCTTGATGAATATTCTTGCGCTTTCTGCAAACGATTGAAATCTTCGGTTTTGCTTTTTTTAAAGTATATAATCTTACAAATGATGATGACAGAACAATTTTTCATTAAATTAAGTGTGAAATTTTTCCATTACAACGAATATGTGCATTTTATGCTATTGCAAGAACTTTGTAATAATATTTACTGATAGTCACAAATGAATAAAATCTTTGCGTTTAGAGATTTTTAGAATTAAAAGAAACATAAATATATTAATAGTATTAAAATTCTGCCGTTTATCTTTTTCATCTTAATTATAGAAGGCATGAAAAAAGCGGCTAAAAAAAATTTTAATATCAAGTAGTTTCTTTCCGAAATGCGATCTTCTTTTCGTCGAAATTCGGTAAGCAATTTACAGCATAATCTTTTTCGGTCCTTCTGATCCTTTTCGCTTGCTGTTTTCCATAAAATCTCACATAATAGGATTTGTTTTTTGCGTGAATATTTATCGATCGAGATTCATTGGAATGTAAGTACACAAAATTTCGGGGAGCGCTGTAGGTTGTTTGATCTTTCCCGCGAGAACGACCGCCATATTTGTTTTCCATCGAGCTGACTTGCATTGTTATGAGTTTATTATGTGTTACGGACGTGTACGGTGTACGAAATTCGCGAATGACCGTATTGCAGAAGCAATTGCGATAAAAATTTCCACAGAAACTGCACAAGATCGTAACGAAACTTCTCAATATTTATAGTATTGCGGTATGCGGAGGTTCACAATCAGGAGTGAAAAATTACGAAGACGATTATGCGTCACATTTACGCCAGAATCGAAATTGTGTTCTTGTAATCGTTGTCTCGTCGGTCGTGCGCGTTATGTGTGTGAAATATGAATGAGCTTGGTTATGAACTCAAACCGAGGGTTGCATGCTGCGGTTGCCAGTTGCAGCGGTTAGATACTCGATTTTCCTAACGCGTTGGATGCTGCGATATACGTTCGGTTACAGCGAATGGTGAGTGTTAAATATTAATATCCTTTTCAGTCATATTTTGCATTCTTCATTTTACTTTAAGATGAGAAAGCAATATGGCAGAATTTAGCGTTATCGGCTTATTTTTCTTTAATTTCGAAACTCTTGATGCGCAGCGATTTTACGACTACTAACTGGCGTTATTGCAAAATGTTTAGCATATCAACATACCAGCCATTGTGTGTGCGTGAAGCTGGCATATTATGGAAACTCGTGAGTTACAAAACTTCTGACTTTATTTCTAATAAAAAATTTAGTTGCAGATTTTATGTAGACATTTAGAGTTCATAAAATTTAACAAAATATCATAAAGATTCTCGTAAGAAAAATTGATTTGTCTATTGACCTTACAATAAAATCAGAATTTTCAGTAGTTTGAATTTATACGAAACGATACGCCACCTTCACACACTTGATCTCGGCACACTCTTCGTTCTCCTCTGTATTTTCACGGCCGTCGCAGCCGTGTTATCGTGTTAATGTTACGTATATCGCGCGGTTCACTTGGGGATGTAAATGGAGAATACCGGGAATGTTGCTCATATTGCACAATTTATTAAGATATACAGCTCAGCGCGAAGTATCTTCGAGTATACCTGGACTATAATTCTCCATTTCTCCATGTGTTTCGTATATATAACATGCTCACAGTGTGCATGTTATATATACGAAACACATGGTTATATATACATGAGAAACGCAATGTGCTGCAATAGATTACGCTTGTCTTGCGCATCTTCAGATTTACTATGTGGTATTATCTTGAGGTATGGGTGTTTCATTTTTGTTCACCTTCAAATTGAATAGCAATGTCGAATCACGTTCATTACATTAAAATAAATACGGCCTTTAGAGAAGATGATTCTGATTAAATATCCGAGAGAGATTTCACATATTTTACATTCTCTCTATTTTTTTACGCGGATAAAATCGGACCGAATTATGCTCTTCTTGATACTTGATTTCTTTTTAAATTAAAGATACATATATTAGCGAGAGACATAAGAGAGATATTAATATTATAACAAAAGAGATATTTTTGTGTGTTAAAAAATGCTTCGTTTGGTTTTGAAAACATTTTTTGTTGATGAAAATTTTTTATTTATGAAACTACGCTCTGGCATAGTTTAGTAAAGTCTATTCTAACGTGACGGACTTTGGTATTCATTCTGAAATTCTCCGGTGAATCATTACCGCATTGTATCATCCTGTGATGTGTTCTATTGTATTCTGGCATAGCTCGATGTACTCTGTGAAACTGGAGAGCATAGTTCCACAAATTCTGACTGTAATCTGTTATGCCGTGGCTAATGAAATTTTCGTCTAATTAAAACCTTTATTTGCGATCGTACATCCTGCTCGGCGAATGATATTTCTTCATTCCGGCGTGTTTGCACGCGTGACCTTCGCAGTTAAAGAATCGCCGAAAGAGGCGAGCACGTCCATGTCTCGCTGCCAAATCGACAGTGAAATATTATTTGTTGTGCAGCTTGTTCTTCGATGCAGTCGTACACCGGTTTTGGCACCGAAAAAAAATTCGCTATCGCGTGATCTCAATTTAAGATTCGAATAATATAAATTTTCATGCAACTCGCGAATTATTCCGCACTTTAAACGTTTCTGTGTTGACAATATTGGTGCTATCGTGACATTTCCTTTACATCTATTTTTATCTGTCGCTGTGTTTATTAGGCGATCTTCACAATTAGTCACTTTAAAGACTCACACGATTATTTTACATCTACATGTCTGTATGTATTATATAATATTTTGTGGAAAGAATTCAAGTCACACAATATTTTTATTTCGTCAGATTTAATTTTCGCTGGTGTAGAGAAAAATATAGTTTATGCTAATTGTCGCAAATAAACATAAAAATTGTTTCTATACGTTTACATTAACACAATTTTTTAAATTATATAGAATTTTAACGAAAATTATATCGAATTTTAACTAAAAATGACTTATTGTTAGACAGAAAAAATAAAATTAGTGTTTCCGAATAAATTTCAAAATCAACTAATCGAAAATAATTTTTTTTTATTGATTAGTTTTAAATACTATCGTCAGGTATTTAAATAGCTAAAAACTGATTTTTTTCTGGCAGAAAGTGTGTTAATTGCAATCTTATGTAATCGATTTTGTATTAAAGCGAGAAGTTAAAGAGAAACGCAGCGTATCAGTGAAATATGTTAATATTTTTTTTATGCTAATACTTTCAGTGACTGTAATTTTAAAGAATAATAAAGATACGATGAAAATTATTACTTAGCGGATTTAATATAGCGAGTGAATCCAAGTTTCCATTCTCGGGCACAGAAAATCTTCGACAAACACGAGAGTCACCGCGTCGGCTTTTATATCTCTCGGACCTTTAAATTTAACTGCACTTTTTATGATCACGCTCGAGTCATTCTTGAGAATACCTTGCAGCTCTTGCGTAGTCGGCGCGGGATTGCAGAGGTGACGGTAATATGCAAAGATGGTAACGATCCGAGGCAGAGAATATATCGCACGAGGGTTGTCGGTTACACAATCCTTCGCGCGGAATCAGTGGATCAAACTGTCTTGGCACCGTTCCATGCTGCACTTCGATTTCTTGCTTTCAATGCTATGCCCGCCAGTATTGTGCCATAGATTAATACGTTAGTTAGCATCATGAGAGTCCAACAATACTTTAGCAGATGTAAAAGAAAGTTTGCATTACAATGTTTTATCGCTGATTGTATATTTTATGACGATAGATTTTTCATGTACTTCTAAACTAGACAGTCCAAGTTTGCGGAGATAAACTAGAAGTCGAAAATTTTTTTTTCCAATAATAACGTGCACTTGTGGAAAGTCTTAATTAAGATCTACATAGATTTTGAATATATTATTTAACTTATTTTTGTACAGAATATTTTGCAGCTGATAACGCAAATGGAAAACTGATAATTTATATGATAAAATAAGTTGGAAATAAAGAATAAATTTTTCTTATACAAGCTTTTGCTTTTAAGAAAATTCAACTCTTGTACATTTTCTTATATAGAATTATTCTAACTTTTTGATTGTATCAGTTTTTATGAGACATTTTAAAAATGAAAAAATATATAAGAAACAGTAAATATATAATAAAGAAAGAATATTAATTAACACAGCGACTTTAATGCAAATGAATTTTTTACGTCGAGGAAATCATTATAAATTGTGTTTAAGTCCTTTGAGTAAAGAACTGACTTCAAAAGCAAAAGAAAATGGGGCCACTGTAAGCATTGTTTGCATAGGTCGCGCATTGTTTTCATGGATTACGTAGAAAGTGCCGACAACGTTTGCATAGATTATATAGAAAGATAACTTTCGCAGTACACACTATCATCGACGGTTATTGTTCACATATTAACACTCGATATCGATTCTCGAGTAATGTTTGATCCAATTTTTCTCCGAATTTTCTCACGTCGGAGCGAAATGTAGTCAAAATATTAGTTGCATCGACATATCTGCCGCTTGGACAATCGATCTTCTCGAGGATTTATGCTGTATGCAGTGTTTTGCAAAATCGATCAGACGGAAGGTATATTTATCGGTTAGTTTTCTTTGAAAATATTATGCCCGACTCGCCTTTCTCGCGATGTTTGTAAAGTTTAATGGAAAAGAGGTAACTTTTTCTCACGTTCGTATCTTTCGCACGCACTATTGTGTGTTTCTTTCAATACAGTCAATCGCGGTATTGATTTTTTCATCAATATCGATCGGAGATCGATTCTTTTTCACATTATTTGTTACGAAAGTTTAGCGCTTACAATATGCGTGGTTGTAAAAGCGAAATTTATTCGTTAAATGTATAAAAAAATATTCATGAAAAATATTCATGAATTAACTTAATCCTATCACAACGAAAATACGATTATACTGTATATTATAAATAATTATATTTGCTGATCTTTGCAACATGCGATTAAAAAACATTGACGAAGTGATTTTAGAAAACAAGAGAGATTTCACCGCACGAGATCCATTATGCGGCAAAAAAATTTGATGGTTGAAACACAAAAACAAAAGTTGATTAATGATACGTGTCGAGAAGCGCGGGCAACGTCCAGCATCCAGATCTTGACGTGTGATCTTTGATATATTCGAAGCAATATTTATACGTTAAAAAAACAAATCAAAATACAGTATAAAAACGCGATGTGAAAAAAAAGAAACAATACAAAAATAGAAGAAGCCATGCATTATTAATTAATTTTAAATTGATTGACAAAATTATTTAAATGTCGATGCTTAATCAAAAATAATAATATTCAATGTTTTTGTAGAACACTTGGAATTGATAAAGGCAACTTTTCTGAATAAACGATCGCCAGTGCGGCTCGCCGATAAGACAATTTCTCGACAAACATAGGTTTATTGTCGCTTTATCGATAGCAATTGCGTTTCGCTTGTGCGATGTGTCAGAGATACCGATCGATCGCGTGTGCGTATGAGGTATCTTACGCACTAATGACGCATCAGAAAAAAAAACGTGTTTCTCATGCGGAGGAAGAAGGCGTGGGCTAGGAAAGGAATGCGGCGCGAAAAGTTAAGGTTGCTTTTCGTCGCGATCTGTACGAAGGAAATGTTAGGGACTACGCTCCGTTAGTAGAAGACAAGAGGGCCCTTCTTCTCATTAACTCGAGAATTGCGACGCGAATAGACGAAACTAACTCTCTAATTAAGAGTCCGCGCTTTTGGACACCGTCTGTTTTTAGCGAATTAAGGCGAAGTCGCTTTGAGAAAGTGTTGTATGAAGCACAGCTCGAAAGTGACGCGATATCTCTTTCTTCTGTCAAGTAGATTGCTGCCCGACAATTTATGCACGATTCCTCGATATCCATGCATTATTTAATGTATTTGTCACTATTGGCAATGCAATTATATCAGTTATTAAATTCTTGCATGTGACGGTTTTAAATATTTAATTTTTTTAATCTAGAAAAAGGTTAAACGAATTTTGT